ATGGAAATAAACTACAAAGTAAAAAAAAAAAAAAAAAAGCCGTCTTGCATAATAGAAATTACTAAGTGACTCATAGAAAAAAAGTGTTGAGGCGCTCATGTTACGTCTTCCAACACGTCTCTAGGTGATGTCACATAACAAGGAACGACGGTCCAAACGCGATGAGAAACTCGACAAAAAGTCTCAAGCTATGGAAGAGCTGAAAGCCGAGCGAGAGAAGAAAAAGAACAAAACTGGTCAGTGGCATCTGAGGTTTCTTCTTGTGGCCCGTTTTTGTGGGGGTGTTTGTGTGTCTTTTAGAGTTGGCCGGGTGTGATTTCGTAATGGGAAATTGGGCACATTCACAATTTCAGCTGATCTGTACTAGATGGGGGAAAAAAAAATGTTAAAAAAAATTTTTTTGGGGGCGGGGGGGTCCTTTTTTTGGGGCTCACTCGTGCTGTAAAGTATGTATTTGTCGACGCAAATAGTGACAATTTAATAAGTATATTGTTGACCACTGTAGGTTTGTGTTTTTCCAAGTGTAGTTTATTGTTTGTGTGTGGCACTGACGCGCTTATATTTCGCCAAGCAGCAGAACTCTTGGCCAAACGCGAGCCCCTGAAAACCAGCGAGGTGTACTCCGACGACGAAGAGGAGGAAGAGGAGGAAGATGACGACAAGTCGTCCGTCAAGAGCGACCGGAGTTCGCGCTCTTCTTCGTTCGACGACGACGACGAGTGAGTTTCATCGCTGGCCTCCCCCGCTGAGCAAAGTGCTTTTTGCGTGTCGAGTAAGCGCGAGCGTCTCTGTTTGACAGAAAAGAAGAAACGCCGCCTAAATCGCAGCCCGTGTCGCTACCTGATGAGCTCAATCGGATCCGCCTATCGCGACACAAGCTGGAGCGCTGGTGCCACATGCCCTTTTTTGCCAAAACCGTCACCGGTTGCTTCGTGAGGATCGGCATCGGGAACAGCAGCAGTAAACCAGTCTACAGGGTAAAGCAAAAAAACAAAAAAGCGCTTGTCAATTGTCACTAATGGCTGGATAATTTTTCTCCACGGTCAGCAGAGGGTCTCTTCACTTCTCGGAATTTCATTTATTTTCTCAATTGAAGTGCAGTCAGTCCTTAAGTGGTTCTTTCGGAAACTACAAGTTGTTCCCTTGTCCAGAAATTGCTAAATGATGTTATTGGGTATAAAACAAAGAACATTTAATTGTAAGCACTGACTATTGAACGAAAAGCATTTTACAAAGCCGGACAAATAATAAAGAATTAAAAAATAATAATTTCCACAGTTTTCAGTTGGCCTGTAGGGTCTGCAATATGGTCAAACGGAACAGTATATATTGACATTGAAAGAGCTGAAATTGTAATTTACCCCCCCCCAAAAAAAAAACAGATTTCTAATGTACTTCCAAAACTGTGTGCTAAGGTCGCTGAAATTATGGACGTGGTGGAGACGGCAAAAGTTTACCAACTGGGCACGACGCGGACAAACAAAGGATTACAACTACGGTGGGAAAACTCGTCGCATTGTGCGATAGTATTATACTACTGCAGTCATTTTTTTCCACATCTTGCTTTGCGAGCAAATGTTTACGTTTGCACAATGTAAAATTCCATATTTTCAAGTGCAATACTGCTGAGAGCAGTTTTTCCAACTAAAACACATAACGGATTAATGGCGTTCCCATTCATTTCAATTGGCAAAGATGTTTTGAGTTACAAACACGGTCACCAAACAAATTAGACGCTGAAGTCAAGGCACCATTTTAAAGGTTTAGCACAGTGTGATGTTATCCTATTATTGTATTCCTCAGGCACGGCGGTGACATGCGCGTCTTCCGGCTGGAGTTTGTGTCCAATCAGGAGTTCACAGAAAACGAGTTCATGAAGTGGAAAGAAGCGGTGAGCAGACACACGTATGAATGACAAAAGCCGCTCCTATGACATAACATATCATTCTCGCCGTGTCCTCCTCGTTTGCAGATGATTGTTGCCGGCATGCAAGTGCCAACGCTGGACGAGATCACCAAAAAGGAGCAGACCATCAAAGAAGCCATGAACTACAAATTCAATGACAAAGACATAGAGGATGTCAGTCCCTTTTTTTTTTTTTTTTTTTTAAACGCACTCACGATCATTTTCTAACCTCCAGTGACTAACACCACCATCGCCCACTCTCTGTCTCTCTCGCTTGTTGTTCTCTTTTGCTGCAGATCGTCAAAGAGAAGGACAGATTCCGAAAAGCGCCACCAAACTACGCCATGAAGAAAACTCAGTTACTTAAAGATAAGGTAAACAAGTCACATCACATGCTTTAAATGACTCGGTGTCGTCACTAGGGCTGTCGCAAATGAGTCCTTTTTAGAATTGATTAGTCCATCTATTGCTTGATGTCCTATAAAAGCGACCCCAAACCCTCGGCATCTTCATCTCCGTGGTCCTTTATTTCGGGAAAAGAGCGTCCACGGCAGCAAATGTCTGTGTGTAAACGTGGAAGTGGCCAAAAATTATTTCTGGGGGCTGCAAGTATGGTTTTAAAATGATTCATTATAGTTTCGAGGTAGACATTTAAAAATTTGCGAGGCAAAAAAACCTTTGTGCTTCATTTAGGTCAGTCAGCAGATGTCTTTTTTTTATTTTTTTTATTACCATTAAATATTGTGTAAATATGATACACAAGAGATGTATTAATTTTACATTAAATTGAAAATTACATTAAGGATTTTTTTTTTCCCCCCCTTTGAAGGCCATGGCGGAGGAGAGCGGTGACGGCGACAAAGTGAAAGTCATCCAGGATGAGTTGAATGAGCTGGAGGAGCGAGCAGAGGCGCTGGACAGGCAGAGAACCAAGAATATCTCCGCCATTAGGTTTGAAGACTTTCACACGTTCATTTGTCTCCCCCCCCCCTCCCCCCAAACATATTTGGCACTGTTGTGTATTTTATTGTGCAGCTACATTAATCAGCGGAACAGAAGCTGGAACATTGTCGAATCGGAAAAAGCTCTGGTGGTAAGTTACCTCGTCGCAGAAAATTAGTTCCAACAAAAAACTGAGCAGCAACACTTAAATTGTGTGTTCCTGTAGGCCGAGGGACAAAATGCCAAAAACCAACAAATGGACCCGTTCACTCGGAGACAATGCAAACCTACCATGGTGTCCAATGTAAGGCTTCTATATTTATGTAACACTGCTGCTGAATATATATTATGTATTCATATTTGTGGGGCCTGTTCACACTTGGTCTTGTGTGTGTTCCAAAGGCCAGAGACCCGTCAGTGCACGCCGCCATTCTTGCTCACCTGAACCAGAAGTATGGCTCTGGATCCTCGCCGGACCCTTCTGCTCTTGAGAAGAACAAGCAGGTCAGAGTCACTTAGAGACGGGAAAAACCTGTGTACCGAAGCCGTGATGTGTCGTCACAAGCCAGTTGGCCAAATGGCCAACACGAGCGTGGCTGCCGCAGTTTTTTTTTTTTTTTCTCATCACACTTTGTGAATAACGCATGCCTCATTTTCCACAGGGTCCCACGGACACGAAGGACAAAGACGTAACCAAGCCAACCACTGACCTCTCTGAAGACTTATTCAAAGTTCATGATTTCGATGTAAAGATTGACCTTCAAGTTCCTAATGCAGGTGAGACGGCTGACCAACCTCCACCACCTTTTTTTGCCCAATGTCCGCTACGCTAATGTTTGTCATTTTCCCCTCGTGCCACACACCAGAAGCAAATTCTCTGTCGGTGAGCTCGAACGCACTCCCGGTGAAAGATGGTGCCCCCCGGCGATCGCTCAACCTCGAGGACTACAAGAAGAGGAGGGGGCTCATCTGAAGACCGCCGTGCTGCATGAGGAACAGGCTGTGAAAGGACGTGTGTGTGTGGGTGTGAGTGAGTTAATTGGAGTTGTGCGAGTGCGTGTGCGACAACAGACTTTTTATCAAAGGACATACTGATCCACACGTTTTTCTCAATGTTTTTTTTTTCCCCCTCAAATCCTCTGAGATTTTCTTTTTTCCCAAAAAACTCACTGGCGCTGGACTACACTATACTACATTTTTGTTTAAAGTTACTGGACACTTGCCATGTTTTGACCAGCAGTTAAGATACATCTTCTATACTCCCTTTTCACGATGCCCGTCCTCCATGTTTGTCAAGTATCTCCCTGAATTTAAATGAGCTGGTACGGTTGGGTACATTAATAACTCTGTCATTTTGTAAATGCTTTGAAGTTGGCCAGAGGTTCAAAAGGAAATATGTTTTTGTTATTTTTTTTTAATGGATGTTGCTTCATTCCTCTTGTATATCTTGTTAGGTTGCTTAAAAGGATTTAAAAAAAACATACACACAAAAAAACACCCTCGTCCTTAACCCCCAGAGCAGATTCTATTTGTTATTGATTGTCAATAGTTGGTTCCTGTATTGATGTGGCATGCCATGTAAATATGCCTTTTGGAGTGAGTTCAGGAGGAAAAAATAAAGAGGCACTGTTTCATATATTTCCCTGTTTCTATAGTTAAAACTTTGCTGGACTGTGCCAGTATATTTTATGCAAAACATGTAATTAACATTACATAGCTCATATTTATCAATGCTTGTTACAGCAAATACATGCAAGAATCTATTCTACAAATCTTTATACATGGAAACCGACTTTAAAAATAATCAGGCATTGTTTTGGGGTCCTTGCTGTCGCTCCTGGTCAACTTAGAGAAGAAGACCTTTGCTCCCACACCCCATGTACGATGACTTGTTAAAATGAAATTACAATTTAAGATTTTATTCAAAAGATTCTCCACTCTAAGGCCTGTTATAAGCCCGTTCTTTTTTTCTGATCAGGCACTTTTGTAGTCACACTTATAAAGTCCTTGTATGGTGTAGTTACACGTCGAAAGGAAATATTTACTTCATGTTATTCATGATTAATTTATTAATTTTATTAAATGTCATTGTTGTACATTCAACGCTCTTTAAATGTTTTTTTTTTTTTGAAAACGATACGGCAATTTTGTAGCCACCCGTGTTATGGGGTCCTTGAGGTTTACTTCCTGGTCCACGTAGGGGAGATTTGTTATTTTTCGATTTTTGTAGTCGTCATAAAATGACATTTGCCCCTGTGTACCCAAACGACATTTCGTTCACTGGTGCACCAGTTCAGCCTCGCAGATAGCACGGTGGCAGGAGACATTTGGACATCGTTTAAAACGGTAAGATGGAAGTAGCGTAGCCTGGGAAAGGCAGCTAAATCTCTTCGCGATAGCACAACATAGTATTAAGTAAACGCGTTTCTAATAGTAATTAAGCGATCGTGGGATGAAAACAACAGCATTTACTATAATTGAGTTGGGCTCACTCAAGTTGTGTCTCAGCCCCATGAACACTGATGGGTTATATCCTTGGGTCCCTTTCAAAACGCTACGGCAGTCACTTGCTGTTAGTTGTTCTGTGCTCTTTCTACAACGCCCTAAGATTTTAGCGTGCCAAAAGTCCTGTCTATAAGGCAAACTGCTGCAGCAGTTGGTCCAAAGAAATATGTTGAAATGGTCGACGGAGAGACTTGAGCTTTCTTTGGCGGGGAACAGCCAAATTTTGCCTGGGTTGTTGCGAAGAACCTTGTGTGCTCGCACGCTTTGATTGCATGTTTTTCTTCATAAAATAATCTGTCAACCATTTATTTTAGAGGGGTTTGTTCTGAAATGAGTTTGACGTGGTGTTTTGGGATAATAACAAAAAGTGCCTCGTTTGGGTTTGTAGGGTATTTTTCACTCAACGACTCTTGATGACAGTCGGTGGCTTCTCTGCAAGGCATCTTTCCGACTGCTCTTTTGCATTCCAAAACAGTAATGGCATGGGGCGTGCCTTTAACGCGCAGAATAGTTAGTTGAGTTTACCCAGGAAAAAAAACGTAGGATAGTGCTGTGCTACAGAGCCTCGTTGCATAAACTGGTGAAGCCTGCTTTAGAGAAAATGCAAAATGTCTTGTTAGACAGCAATAACAATCCAATTGTGATTGATCCAATGTCCCGAGAAGGTTTTTAGATAATACTTTGTGGTATATATGGTTTAAATTCACACTGTACTGCTTATTTTCCTTCTCTTTTCCATCAGCAATCAAAATGTCCTGGTTTGTGGAGTTTGCCGGCAAAGCCGAAAACTTCCTGAATCAAGTTGACCAGGGCGCTGCCACCGCCTTGAGCAAAGGTCAGAACAAAACATCCTCCCTCGCATCCTACTACGATGGAGATGGTGCAGCGGTCCATCCTGAATATAAAGCGGAGACCAGCACAGTTTCTCACTACACGTCGAGCTTCATCTCTTCAGCAGCGGGCAACATCAAGAAGGCTGCGTCTGCTCCTGTGATCACTTTGGCCCACACGCAAGCATCAAGCAAAACTTCCAAGGCTCCCCACTCTGCCTCCTCCTCCTCCTCTTCCTCTGGCTTTGCAAAGCGTAAAAAGAGTTCGCTTGACGTGGACGATGATATGCTCTTTGACTTTTTGAACAGCTCTGAGCCGCCAGTCAGTAACCGTCGTGAGCCCAGGAGGGATGCCAGCGTTAAAGTGGCGGTCACAGAGGCTAAAGTCCAGACTCCGACTCCTCCTGCCGCTGACCTATTGCTCCCATCCACATCGCCCTCGACACATGACGTGTCCCGGGCGTCCAGCCTTGGCTCTCTGCCTTCCAATAGCATGAAAGTATCACAGGAGAACTCAGAAACAGAGCAAAGCCAAGGTATGGCAAACATTTTGAAAGAATTGAATAAGACGTCGACTGCCGTTTTTTGTCAGATGACATTCAAAATAGCGCCTCCGTCGTCAGCTATTTACATACACTGACAAAAGAAATCAAATAGGATTGTATTTATCACAGTCTTTAAATTATCATCGAACACGACACCTAATTTAGAATATTGAACTAAAATTTAAAAGAATGTTAAACTTCCAAGTATGAAAATGCAAAACCTAATAAATACGTTATCTGTTTGGCATGTCTCGTTTTTTTTCTAATATGCATTGTGCTTCAACGAATAATTAGAGGTGCAACAATTAATTGACAGCTAATCGATTATCAAATTAATTGCTAATTATTTTAATTGAGTAATCATTACATACCTTTTTTTAATTTCAAATTCACCAGATGCTCAAAATTTCAGCATCTCAACAGTAAATACAGTATTCCCTGGTTTCATTGGGCTTGGGAATGCAAAGTTATGGAGCATTATTAAAATGGAAAATATGTACTTTCACCATCATTAAAAAAATTAAAACAAACTTTTGACAATCTCATCTGTAACAATTAGCAAGCCGTGTTAAAAAAGCAATTTTTTTGGTCATATATTTTAAAGTGTACTGTAATGACACTCAAATTAAGGATATTTCAGATCCCTAAATTGTATCTCTATCCAATTTCTTTTGGAATGAAAAAGTAAATATTCACTGTTTTAAATTATAAATCTGCAACAACGATGACACATAAATCTACTTATGCTAGAATAAAATACGAGAATATATTATATATTCATATATAATATATAAAATATATATTCATTTATTTGTGATTTCAGCCAGTCAACACTCAGCTGAGTCTTGCGACTCGGACTTGCCTGCCCCTCAGGAATCCGGCCGACGGGAGTCTTGCGGTCCCCCAGAGGAGCCCCAGGGCCAGGTTTTGTCCAGCCTGCGTCTGGAGAACCAGCTCCTACGTAGTGAGGTGGCCTCCCTCAACCAGGAGATGGCCTCGGTCATCCAGCGATCAAAGGAAATGCAAGAAGGTGCGACTCATTTGAATGTATTTTACAGCCACATCGCCTTACAGTTTTTAAAAAAAAATCTGATCCCTTTTGTCACTCCCACAGAACTGAGCAACGCCCGGCTGCGTGTCGACAAACGTAACGCCGAGCAGTCTCAGAGCGACCGGGCGCTGCGGGGCCTGCGCTCGCAAGTGGACGACCTAAACGAGGCGCTGGCCGCCAAGGACGGACAGCTTGCCGTGCTCAAGGTCCGATTGGAAGAGGCCGACCAGCTGCTAAGGAGCCGCAGCGTGGCGCTGGAGGAGGCGCAGAAGGAGAAGTCCAGGTACGATCTCTCTCTCTTTTTTTTTAAATTTTATTTTTTTATATAAAGGTCAGGTGCCTTTTTATGAAAGAAGTGTCGAGGATGCTGCTGTGCTATTTAGGATCTTAGAGGACCACACGGAAGGCAGCAGCATGCACTCCCAGGCTCTGGAGAGCATGCACGACAGGCTGCGAGAGGCCGAGCAAGCCATCAGGAGGGAAGAGGACAACTTTCGACAAATGCAGGTGACCCTTTTATTCCATCCAGGGTTCTTTTGACCATTTGTTTGGTGCAAGAATTGCGGGTTACCGGGGATGACGTTCTAGATCAGGGATGTGGAGCATAAATGCTGGCGCAGGCCACAATTTTTCATCAGTACTTCGCGAGAGCCCATATAGACTCACGGACTTGCTGACGAGTTGTACGACACAATTATTATTATTTTTTAATATGGACAAAATGATGTGCATACATACAAAATATGTGCTCTTATTATACTTCAATTGCGATAATACATTTTTCAATACATGTCTAAAAGATCCACCATCCTAACCCAACAACAAAGAGTTTGACGCAAACAATGAAATGACCACATCGTGTTATTTTTCCCCAGTGCAAAGGGCTCTCTTGGATAAAAATGACCATTCATTGAAGGCACAAAACTGAAACCAACATTAGGTCCAAGAACTGACACAGCTAATGTGCATCATTTGTCATCACAAAGTAGTATCAACATGTACTGCGGTGCATTTTTGGGAATTTTTGGTCTTAAATGGAGGCGGCTTTCCAAACATCGTCACATTTTGCCAACAAAAGCCATCCAAAAGATGTTACCAATTTGATTTTGTTTGTTTAGAGTGAATATGTCGGCCGTCAGTCGCGGTTGGAGTCCGAGCGGCAGAGCCTGGCCGAGGCCTTGACAGCGGCGGAGAAGCGCACTGCCGAGGAGAAGCTCCGCGCGGACAACCTCCAACAGCAGTTGCGCAGCGCCAAGAGTGCTGCTGAGGCCGCCAAGCACGAGCTGCAGGACTACAAGCAGAAGGCCACACGCATCCTACAAGTAAGCTTAACCTCCACCACCGCCACTTAAAGGTGGTTCTCAACTGGTCGGTCCAACGTTTTGAGGTAGTGTTTTGTGGCCCAGAAGTTGATTTGCCGATATATTTTTTTACATTAATTATGACTCACTGTCACTTTGTTACTATCGACTCACAGGTTGCAAAATAAAATGGACACAATAGTTTTTTCCCCATCTTGCACATAAGACATGCCCCCCCCATAAACGAAAAACTAATACCAAAACTAAAACTAATGCAAATATTAAAACTAATAAAAACTAAAGAAAACTAATCATTTGTGAAACACATTTAAAAAAAAAAAAACAAAGTTGCTCTGAACCATAATTCAAATAATTAAATTAACACAGAACATATTAGGTTAGAGACTGTCCCAAAAATCTGAATGTTGTGGCTATATTTCTACTCATGACCAAATCTTACGTTGAAAATATTAGCACAAAACAAAAAGTGGAAGGAAAATGTGGGTCGCAGGATGACAACAGTTGAGAGCCACTAATTCATAGGACACATGTTCTAATGTCTGTCAATGTTAAGTCCAAAGAGAAACTGATCAGCAGCCTGAAGGAGGGCTCCGGTTTGGACTCCCTGGACGGCAGCGGCGTGACAACGCTGGAAATAGAAGAGCTGCGCCACGAGAAGGAACTGCAGAAGGAGGAGATCCAGAAGCTGCAAGGCCAAATGCACTCGCTCCGGACTGAATTACAGGTGTGAGAATTGGCAAAAGAAATGAGTTGAAAAGTTGCATCTCCCAAGAGCTAGACCGATATAATGAACTCGACTTATGGGGATCTTGATGTATGGCTTCACCTGCAGGATTTGGAGAGCCAGTCCCTTGCAGAGGCGGACACGTGGCGGCAACAGACGGCGCAGTTTCAAGAGGAGCAGGCAGCACTGAACCGCGTCAAGCAGGAGCTGGAAGCTGAGGTGGAGCGGCACAAGCAGGTAGGGAAGGGGTTGATGACGTTCCGTCGTCTCAAAATGGCGCCTTTGATGATTTGTCAAACTCTTTGGATTGTTGTCAGGAGCTGCAATATGTGGAGGAAGAGCAGAACCGGGCCAAAAGCACCCTGCAGAGCCGAGTCAAAGACAGAGAAGATGAAATTCAGAAGCTCAGGAATCAGGTCGGTTTGACCGCATCAGTCACAGTGCAGTTCTGAATGCCAAGGGGTATTTTTTTTATTAGTAATGTTTGTTAAAAAAAAATCTCGTTATCAATTTCAATTGTGTTATTTTCTTTTTTTGTTGTTGATTTAAAACTTTTTAGTTTTTCGATTTTATTTTATTTTGTTCAGGTCTTGTTCATGTCTTTTAAGGTCTCCTGTGTTCTTTTGAGTTATGTTTGTTTATTGCATCCATTTTTAAAATTCAATATAATAATTATTTTGTTTTAAAAGTTTTTTTTAAGTGAACCACAAAAATACCCTTTTTTAAATATATCTATTTTTGTATTTTTATTTTCTTTGTTGTTTCTTAGTTTTAGTATTAGTTTTAAATATGTTGTGACCATTTCTATTTTAATTTTGGAGAATCCAACTGCATGTCATTCAGTTAAAACAAACAAACAAAAAAAAAGGATTACTTGTACGACAACATCAATTTCACAGATTTGTGCATGTTATTTTTTTCTTTCTCTCCAGTTGACCAACAAGACTCTGAGCAGCAGCAGTCAAACGGAGCTGGAGAACCGCCTGCATCAGCTGACTGAAACGCTGATCCAGAAGCAGACCATGCTGGAGGCTCTGGGCACAGAGAAAAGCTCACTGGTCTTCCAGCTGGAGCGCCTGGAGCAGCAACTCAAGAACACCCAGGGGGGTCCGGGCACCGGGGGCCCCGCCATCAACATGAGCGGCGTCGAGGGGCCGGGTAACCTCCTGTCGTGCTCGCCCATTTTGAGGACCAATAAAGCTGTGGTATTTTCAACATTTTTTGTTTTTTAACGTTCAGGGGCCAGACAAAGGAACATCCCGGTGCTTTTCAACAATGAACATAATCCCGGTGTGTATGGGAGAGTGCAAAAGGCAGCCAGCACCATTGACCGCTTCAGGTAAAAACGCAAGTACTGAGCACTAGACTACATTACCCACAATCCATTTTGGTATAGTTTTGCTTTCTCTCATTCCAGCATCAGACTGGGGATCTTCTTGAGACGCTACCCCATGGCTAGGGTTTTTGTCATCTTGTACATGGCGAGTATTTGTTTGAAACATTTCTGTTAGCTTGCGGGTAAACTGTTTAAAATTTTTAATAAATACATATTAATATTAATGGTTAAACTTGACCCACGAACATTTTTGGAAGAGCTGTTAAACATGAATGTAAACAATTAGGATTTTGATGCTTGGATTAAAAGCCTAGTTTCGCCTACTAACCTATTGACTGATTTTGCAGGCGATGCTGCACCTATGGGTGATGATTGTGCTCCTGACTTATTCTCCAGAAATACATCAGAGCCATCCAGATGGAAGGTAGTTGAAAATGTCACCGGCAGGCGAACCGTGTGGGGAAGTACTGAGAGGTATTTTTGCAGTCTCATGAATGGTTATTAGGATTAAAACTGCCCTGTGCCAGGGGCATACTGAAGTACTGAGAGGTATTTTTGCAGTCTCATGAATGTAGGATTAAAACTGCCCTGTGCCAGGGGCATATAGAGGTTCCGGGCCAACGAGGCAGGCATCCATCTTGGGGGGGCACCCAGACTGCTGTCAGACTTTTGAGAGGTTGTATTTAACAATGTAAAAAGAATATTTTAATAAATGAGTTAAACATACAGAGTCCTACTTGTATTAATTTAGTGTTTTCGGTGTAGATTTGTCCAAAGGATAGATAATGTCATTTTAAAGGGGCTTGTCTTAAAAAAAAAAAAGTCTGTATTTGGAACTCAGAAAATGTTTGTAAATCAGTGTGACCTCCTGCTACATTTCAGTAGTGAATTTTTTTTCCCTGAAAAATAGATTGTGAGTTTGTTTACTCATAACAAATCCCAGAAATTAGTTAATGATTTTATGTTAAAGCTTGTTTCTCTACATTGGAGGGAAATTGGGGAGAGTTTTTGTGTAAACGTATAATTCGTCGTGATAAATTAATTACTTTAGCATCATTGTGGTCGCCAACAATACAACGGGATTGAAAGAGTAACCCACTTGGCTACAATAACGACGTAATTCCGAAATTTATGACATCAGCGCCCCATTTGATTTGCCTCCAAGTGCTCGCTGCCCCTTTAAAAATGTTTGTTTTTTTCATGTCCGATCCCACAATGCACCTCGGTGATTGTGTCCACGTCACAGCTGACAGCCAGCCGGCCCCGTAATGGCTGCCGCAGCCGAGTTGGCAGTCTAATGAAGCGAACCAGTGACAGCTGCTTTTTTTAATTATCAAGGTAAACTATGAGGGGCTAATTCACCCCCTTATATTTTTGTCTTGACCCTTTAGCTTCATGCCCTAGGTCGTTGGCTAACTGAAGCTAGGCTAGGCTAGCCCCCTACCTCCCCGGTCGCCCTTACCGATCTTCTGTTTTGGTTCGGTCGTGTTATTGTTGTTGAGCCACCCCAAAAGATGTCATCGTGGCTCGGCGGCATCGGCTCCGGCCTCGGCCAGTCACTTGGTCAGGTCGGCGGTAGCCTGTCGTCCTTCACCGGGCAGATCTCCAACTTTACCAAAGATATGTTGCTGGAGGGAGTGGAAGAAGTCGGAGGTAAGTCGCCACATCATCACCATTTGCAGACCACTTTACTCTCTAGTCCTTCAGCTAATGAAGATTTATTATTTCAGGAGTGAGTGATGTGGAGGATGAAATCACATGACTATGCAATGAGTTTGTCAATTATCAATCGTTGTTTCCCTAAACAATGTGAAGGGGTAGGACCACAAGGCTACCCAATAAATTGGTCACATAATTGTGTCCCAAAACAATGTGGCCTCGACGTCACATGGCTACCTAATGATTCTGAAAGTCACTTGTTTCCCAAAATATGTAGATAATGCAATCTTGTGAGTGTCACTTGTATCCCAAAGCAATGTAAAGGATAAAATCACATGACACGGGCTACTTAATGAATGTGTCAATTATTTTTTTTTCCTAATACATGTAGTCGATGGAATCACTTGGTAACCTAATGGGTTTGAATCGTTGGTTTTCCAAAATATGTGAAGGATGGGATCCTGTGGCTACCCAATGAGTTTGTTCCTTGATGCCATTTCAAGGGGCATTACCAATCCTCCCGTATATGGAAAATTACATTTTTGTACTTGATCATGATCATTTATGTTGTTAAATGTGTTATTTATTTTGATGGTTGGTGACACATTGGACAATTAAACTAAAAGGAGATTTCAATACATTGACTGCACAGGACCGTCGTTGTGTTGTTTGCTTGTGGATCATGTGAGTGTGTTAAAATGGATCCCATGTGCCGTGCTATAGACACGTGCTCTGTATTTGTTTCCGTTCTGTAAATGCATGACATCACAATGGACATATGTGGATGCGTTTATTTCTGAGTGGGCGGAAAAAGAAAATAAATGACTGTTTCTTTTGTTCCCCTGTGTAACCGCAGACGCCGCGACAGAGCTTCAGTTGTCCAATTCCAAGCTGGCGGATGTAGAGGCTGCCTTTTCCTCTCAGAAATTTGAGGTCGGCCTATTTTATTTCTATAGCCCCTTCTTAATCAAATCTTACTGGAGTTCACAAATATATCTGCTTGTTAAATTTAGATTGCAACGAGAAAGTTGGTGTGCAAAGACAGTATGTACGTGTTTTTTTATTTTTAACAACAATAAAAGACTATGGTTATTTACATTGTAATGCATTTTAATTAGAAAATATATCGTCACTAGCAGGCAGAACCATATGTCGAAATTTGGTCATTTTATATTTTTTGCACCTTTGTACTATTGGTCAGTCCCCATATCCAATTTGTACAAGTTATGAACCAAGCTGAAGTGCTGAAAATAGCTCTTATTTATGTATAAATATAATAATATGGCATGTCCTAAAAGCTTCCTGTTTATTTTTATTGATTTCACACTTTCAAATGTTTTGTGTCTTGGTGCTACTTGAAGTGTTTTGCAATGAGATTAGCATCATGCTGTTGACATGGGAGGAATGTTTACAATCTCGTTTGCTTGCTTGCTTGCCGATTGACTAACAGCCCGAGGACATCTGACAAACGCTCCTGTCTACTTTTTTTTTATTTTTTTATTTATTTATTTTTTTGTGGTTCAATGCTGCAGGGAACCATTTGTGAAACAGTTTGTGTCTTTTTTTTGCAGTGTGAAAGGTTGAAAAAGCTCCACGCCGAGCTGGAAGAGAAGCTGGAAGCCTCAGAGATCCAAATCAAGCAGCAGTCGGCCGAGTACAGGACGCTTCTGCAGCAGAAAGACGTACGAGCATCAGCTTCTGTTTGGATTGGAACAATATTTAGTTTCTCAGAGGGTTGGGTGACATTGTCTGGCAATTATAATTTTTTTTTCTCCCCAAAAAAAATCCAGTTTCTGATATTAATTCCGTCTCCCTCTTAGCTTATGAAACAAGCAAATGACAAAACATTCTACTATGCAACTGTATTGTAACGTTAGTTATGATTATACTTTTTATACTTTTTTCAGTATTTGGTGTAAAAAGTTTGAAAAGCCACTCGTATTAGATTACTGTACAACAGGGAAAAAAAAAAAGTGACCATTATTCCAAACACTGTGGTGCCCGTGTATCATCCAGGTGGAGATCAGTCACCTGAAGGCCCGACAAAGCGGCCTCCAGGAGGACGTCCAAAAGCTTCAGCGCTCGGTCCAGTCCGCCTCTGCCGGCCCCGTGCTCCCCGTCACCACGGCCTCTTCCAGCATCGCCACCTCAGCGTCCTCTTATCTGTCCCATCCTTCTGCGTCCCACCACCACCACGGCTTTCACGGCGATGACATGGACCTCAGCGAAGTCATCTCGTCCCAGCAGGAGATCAACCGTCTGGCCACCGAAGTGCTGCGACTGGAGGCGGAGGTGGCGCACTGGAGGCGCATGTTGCAGGTCAAGATGATGATGATGATGAAATTAACTAGTTGGTCGGTTGGTTAATTAGTTAGTCAGACTAGCTTCCCGAGCTTTTCTGGTTACATTTCAAATCTTATTCTGTTATTCATTCAGTTGTGGTTGCTGATTGAACTGCCTTGAATTAATTTAAAATGAATGGAATGTTGGTAAATTTCAAATGAAAATCACAAAAGGAATTTAAAATGATTTTCAAATCATTTTAAATTACATTTCATTTTATCCCGCGACCCTTGTGAGGATGAAGCGGATCAGAAAATGGATGGATGGATGGATTTCATTTTATATGAGCATTCAATTTCAAATGTAAATTGATTTGAGATTCGCGTCCCCCTTTATAATTGAATTGCCAAATCTATGTAAAGTCAACTTTAACTTAAAAGTCAAACTTTGACTTAAAATTAACTTCAGAGAAAATGTTAAACCATTGATGAAGTCACAGCTTTTGAATTGCTCCTTTAGGCATCAACAGCAGCGGGGGCGGGTAACTCCGACCAGGGTGAGATTCTCAAACTTCAAAGAACGGTTGAGGTAAATTCCCATTTTAAAAAAACAAAAACGAATCCCAGTAAAATGCAAAGCCCTTCGGCAACACTAATGAGACTTGACCCTTTGTCTTGTGTGAATTGCTCCTTTAGGCATCAACAGCAGCGGGGGCGGGTAACTCCGACCAGGGTGAGATTCTCAAACTTCAAAGAACGGTTGAGGTAAGTTCCCATTAAAAAAAAAAACCCGAATCCCAGTAAAATGCAAAGGCGGCTCCACACTTCGGCAACACTAATGAGACTTGACCCTTTGTTTTGTGCTTTTGCAGGAACTGCGAGATAAGATGAGCTGCGAGGTTGATGAGCACCAGCACGAGCTCGCCGCCCTGCAAGACGCCCAGCGCCAGAAAATGTCCGAACTCAGCCGGCGCCACCGTGAGGAACTGGCCGAATATGAGGAGAGGATCGAGGAGCTGGAGGAGCAGCTGCAAAATGGTCTGCAGAGGTTTCTGCTTGTATATATGACCACTGCCAGTGAGGCTACAGTGAAGCTCGGCTCTTCATGGTGGATTGGGATCAACTTTCGGTTTCACTTTGCACTGTGCATGATTTGCAAAAAAAAAAAGAAATCAGGACCTCTGAAATGCTAATGGAAAAACAGGCATCAATATTCTACAAGGTAGCATAGGTTCCCCCTTTGCCCCTGAAAAAAAAAAAAAGACTTGTAATTGTATGTATGCGGGTGTTCACCGTATAAACACGTTTCAGCTAATCTCCACGTGTCCTTGTCTAGGCGCCTCTCCGGCCAGCTCCCTATCAAACCCCTCCAAAGAGCTGGAACTGCAGACCACCGTCGCTGCCCTGCGCCAGGCCGCTGAGGAGCGGGAGGCGCGCCTTTCTGAGCTATCAGCCGGCCTGGATGAGGCGCAAAGGCTCCGGGCCTCGTTGCAGTCCGAGAGGGACGGCGTC